TCCTTGTACCCAGAAATCTGTAGTTTATCATTTCTTCCAGGAACTTCAAGGAAGAATCAGCAGCACTGAATGGTTTTTCTCAACGCAGGCCAGGGAGTTGTCGGCCGGTCGTCTATTCCCAGTGGCTAAATTTGTTCACACTGATATTGACATCGGCCAATCAAATTACGTGTCGCATTATGTCCACCAAAAATTCATTTGTATAACTGTACTTGAGGATGTTTGCATTTACAGATATGTAGTTGGGAATATAATATTTGTTCTCATACAAGTTTATATTTTACAGAAGCATTCTGTCAGCTTTCCGTGAAGTGGATACTTCCAAAGCAAACAGTTGTCAATTCATTTGCTTTGATGACTGACAGTTTTACAGATGTTTGTTCTCAGTCTCACACAGGACACACAAACACTTCCTTTTAGGCTGTGTGTGTTTTCATGGATCGCACTGAATATGGGCTGATAAATAAGTGTATTTGACGCCAGTTTGCCGACCGCTTGGTCGTTTATCGTCCGGTTAATTCAGTTGGGTAAGAAACGATTTTGGTGAGAAATTATGTCCTTGTTCACACAATTTTGAAGGTTTTCATATTTTTTTTAAGAAAAATGAAGACAGGGTTGGTTGCATAAAGAATGTATTTTTCGGCAATTGAAGCCACAGGGTCGATCTGGTGGTTGGTTACCTGTCCAATGAAAAAAAATTGTTTCACAATTTCAGTGACGTCAACCAGATCCACGTGTTGCATTAAATCCACCAAGCACAAAATGGTTTCAATAAATTCAAAGAAATAACAGCTTTGCTTTCTGCCAAAAATCAGTGTGCGTGATCGTGCAGCTAGGAAAAATAATTATTTAAAAATGTTTGCAAAATCATATTTAGGTATTGGGTATATTCTTTTTCTTGTACAAATTAATATTTTACGGAAATAATTCTGTCAGCTTCTGTTTTCGTGATGTGACTACTTCAACGGAAATAGCTTTGTTAAATTTTACCAGTCAAATAATAATTGAAATAAATGTGTGGGGGTTCATCCAGCCACTGGGCTGCTACTGACGATCCTTTCCGTTGGGAGTTGTTGAATCTTTGTTTCGATCACGGACAGTTTTGTTCTCACACAAGACACTGAAATATTGTCTGTGAGGCACTGCTTATTCGTGTATTGTGTTCAGCGATGCATGCGGGCATTGTGGTTGACGTTAATTGGTTCGAGTTGGTTGGGGCTTGGAGGTCTATCTGGGCTAACCGCAACTGCTTGTATTGCGTTCTTGCACACACGTTATAAAGAGTGTGTCTTCCACTCCCTATACACACACGCAGGCAATATCGTGTATCGTGTAAACCTTTACTCTGGCCGTAACTGTACATATGCAGAGTGGCACTGTACCCTGGAGGAAGGTCGGCGTCAGGAGAGTAGTTACCAGAGAACATAGGCGGGCGTTGCCCAAGCGAACACTCACCATATGGTGAAGAATTCATTGTTTTGTGTGGGACGGTGCTGGAGGCTGTCCCAACCACTGAGTGCAAGGTTGCTGTGCCGTGAGCCATCTCGCTCTGCAGGACATCCTTGAGGTAGCACTCGGTGAAGGTGGAGGGGGAGCTCCAGCAAGCCGTCTGGCATATATCTGCCAGGGAGATGCCTCTGAAGTACGACCAGGACGCAGAGGCGGCCCGAACATCATGGGCTCTGACGTGAGAACGAGTCGTTTCCTCATGCTGAGTCGGCCAATCTTGGTTCGTAAAGATGATGGCTGAGACTGTCCATCGAGCACTAGTGTCCTTTGCTGCTGGATGAAAGGGCTTTGCAGTTGTGATGAAAAGTCTGGAACCAGGTTTCCGGCATTGCTTGGTCTTGGCAAAGTACCACAAGACACCATTTCTTGTCAGAGTTATCTCCTGAAAGAGAGGCTATGTCGGGGACAGAAATGTCTGGAGGCCGGAAGTCAGGCGTCTGGTTCTTTGTCAGGAACTCAATAGCTGGGATAAGGCAAACCCCATGCGGTTCCTAGCAGATGTGACCTTCAATAGTTGACAGGGCATGTAGTTCGTGGCCACGTCTGGAGGTTGCTGAGCTGGAGATCACGTGTATCAGAAAGCGGCTCGAAGGGAGGACCGGCTAAAGGATGTAAGACGCTCCCGAGGTCCTGAGACAGAACGAGGTGTTTGATGTGAGGACGCTCGACAAACATTCCTCGAAGGAGATGGTGGATGGCAGCGTTATCAGAGATTGTTGATCCATCGCTGAACCCTGAAGGAATAGCTGCCAAAGTTGACCGCTACTTACAGATGGTGGCAATCTGGAGGCCTGAGTGAAAGAAAAAATAGAAGCTTTGGTTGGAGAAAAACTATGGTCGTCACACCATCTAGTAAAATGTTGTAGACAACTGTTGTAAATTTTGCATGTGGACAGTCGGCCTCATGCCCCCGTGGACGCAGCATCTGCAGAAAGGCCTGACGCTCTGAATGATCGTTGGACAATGTCCAGCACATCAAGTGAAGATCGTTCGGCACTGGATGGAGGATTCCTGACCTGTGTTGGTGAAGAATGTCCTCCCTGGGTGGAAGGATCAGTGGATGTCGAACCAAGAGCCTTGTGAATCTCGTGAACGACGGTTGTCGAGACCAGAACGGGGCGATGAGAAGGATCTAGCATGTCTCTTGGATATGACGCGAGGGGTGAGAGAGATTGGGGGGACGCCAGAAGGCCGGACCAATCAAGCTGTAGACCATCCATCGCCCAAGCTCGTGGGTGAGGAGACCTGGAGTAAGAGGTCAGGAGATGAGCATTGTCGGCTGATATGAAGAGGTCGACATGGGGACGCATGATCTCTGCGAAGATCTGACCGACCATGCTCGGATGAAGAGTCCACTCCGTAGGGCGGACAGCACCCCGAGAGAGAGCGTCAGCTATGCTGTTGGTTGTTCCAGCTGAGTAGCCTGGAGGGTGATCCTGTGATCAATCACCCACATGAAGATCTGCCATGTAAAGATTGCAAATCTGGGGGGAGCAAGTATCGCCTTGGTGGTTGACGTACGCTACCACTGTGGAGTTGTCGGTCTGGATTAGAACCGAGAGACCCTCTAGGTGTCACTGGAAGTGGTGAAGGGCATTGAACACTGCCTGAAGTTCCAGTAGGTTGATGTGTTTGTTGCGGAAGGAAGAGTCCCAAACGTTGGATGCATGAATGGGAGGAAGGGAGGCCCTCCATCCAAATAGTGACGCGTCTGTTCTCACCGTGATGTTCGGTTTCGGGGGAACGAAGGAACGGCTCGCCGACAGGTGCTCATTGATGGTCCACCACCAGAGGTGGTTGCAGACATCTGCTGGGAGAGGGACCAAAGTAGAAATCGGGTCGCTCTTGGGATGGTACAGAGATAGGAGATGTAGTTGCATCCGCAGACGACACAATGAGACGAGGTCGAGCAAACTGGCCATTAGTCCAAGAAGATGGAGCCAGGCTAGCACCAGAGGTGTGTCTGACTGCAAAAACTGAAGGGTCATTGCTGCAGACTGAGGATGCGTTCGGGTGTCGGAGCTGCAATTTCTTTGAGGAGATCAAGGATCGCCCCTAGGTAGGTCGGCCGTTGTGATGGGTCAAGGGCCGACTTGTCGTAATAGATGAGGAACCCTAGGCATGTCGCGACGTCAAGGACAAGAGAAGTGTCAGCTTTTGCTTCGTCTGGGAGGCGGCCGACGATCAGTCAGTCGTCCAGATAATGAAAGATAAGGATGTTGCGCTGTCACAAGGAGGCAGCAACAGTCTTGGCAATTCTGGTAAAGAACCTAGGTGAGGTTGAGAGGCCAAAAGGAAGAGCCCGAAAGTGGAAGATTTGACCGCAGTACTCAAAGCGGAGGAACTTGCGGTACTGTTTGTGTATCGGGATATGGAAATATCCATACCGTATGTCTATAGAGGTGGCCCAACACGGGACTGGTAGAGAGGGTAGGACCACGTTCAGAGTCTCCATTCGAAACTGTTTGGGCCTGATGAACTTGTTTATCAGTTTCAGATTGATTATTGGTCGCCATTTTCCTGGTTCTTTCTTGGGTGTCAGGAAGAATGATGAAAGGAAGCCGGTGGATAGCTGTTTTGGATGCACTGGTGTGATGGCTCGTTTGCGTAGCAATGCTGTAATCTCCTCCTCCATAGCCAGGCGCTTTGACTTGTCACATGGGGAGGAGTGGAGCCGAAGACCATCCCCGACGGCAAGAAGCTCGTGAACTCGAGGGAATAGCCGTGGGCAATGGTGGAGCGGACCCAACTGTCCGCGGTGATCTCTCGCCAGAACCCAATGAAACTGCCCAAACCGCCGACGAGTTCGGGATCAGCGGCCACCAAAGGCGAATGGGAGTAGTCACCGGTGTTGTCCTCTGGCAAAAAGGGCGACCTGCAGGCGGAGGCTGGTCTGCCCAACATCTCGGTGGTGGTGGAGGCTGCTGGCATGGAGGTGCAGGTTCATGAAGTAAAATCTTCTTAGCGGTCTCCATATGTTTCTACTCAGACTTGGGAAATGGAGCAGCCAAACAAGCCCCCCTCCACGGCCAGACCGGTACTACATTGGGCAGTTATTATTCGAACGCACGCACCACACAATGAACAAAGGGCCCTCCAACCCTGTGCAACGGCGATGCCCACATGACACACTACACATCACAGTAGGTCACATCCAAACCTGTAAATGATGCACAGAAAAAAGGGGCAGAAAAGAACACAAGAAAAACACAGCATGCAAGGAACGAAATATGAGGATAAGCACTCTTACCAAGAGATAAGAAATCACTCTTTATTTCAAAACAGGAATCCAGTCAATTCACAAACGCGAAAGGTGCGGAACTCGAGAATCCAATAATGTAAAAAAGACACGTCTGTAAACGATAGGCGCTGAGAAAAGAAGGACGAACATGGCGGCGGGACAGCAGTGCCTTGTGGAGGGTCAAGGGGCAGCATGCATATTCATGTCATATGTATCCACATTCCAAAAATCTTACAATTTTAATACCAACCTTCAATGGATCTACACAACTCATCAATTTTTTTCAGGAAGGCTTCGTCCATTGGAGGTAATGGTGCCAGATTAGGAACAGCATCATCTGGACACTCCTGCAGGTATATGTACGGAAGGAATAAAACTATGAAAATCATGACACCCAACATCTTAAATCTATGTGATCAGTAACCAAAAAAATCAACAAGCAAGAAAATAAAAATTTGAAAATATTTGACCAGTCAAGAAATTGTAATCATAATAATAACACAGTTTTTATACATCGCATCACACCAAAGTCTCGATGCGCTTCACTAGAAACAATTAAAAGCAATTAATGGAACAGGTGAATTTATTTTTGTTGTTGACAGTTCTGATATGGTGTGGTTATAGTTATCTACTGTCAATATGGTATAGATTTTCCACAACTTGACAGTTCTAGATGAAGCATTGTATTTCCTGGTTGTTGGTACGGTGTAGAATTAAGAAGCCAACATTTCCCTCAGGGATGATGTGATTACAGGTTGTTAATAAACTTCTCTCAGTGAATGGAAGTCCTAGAGCCAGTAGTCTTCAAAACATGATGTTATAAATGAGATAACTCCATTGACGTTACTGCAAAAGCCAGGCAAAATTCTTGGAGAATATCAGAGAATGGTTCACTAAGCATTTGTTGGCAGTTGGTTGACTGATCCTATCACACAAGGTAGGCTGTGTCAGTGACCAATAAATTGAACATTTTTCCTGAAGTCTCACCATGACAGCTGGCACAGTGACATCATGATTTGGCACACATCTTCTGATGATATTTCAACTACGGCCCAGGTTTGAAAGGGATTGGCCCCAAGGAAGGGTCAAAAGCATACGTAAAATGACCCAATGTTAAGTCTTTGAAAAAAAATGGAAGAACTACAAACGAGATGCACACAGTGTTTGTCAATAGACAAGCTGTTTCGGGAAACTCTTTTGGTTTGATAGATAAAACTAGAGGTTTTGTCTGTCTTAAGCACAGAACAAAGGGCTTTTTTGCATCTTCTTTTTTACTTAAGAAAAGGGCATTACTTCATTTGGGACATCACCTCATTTGGATTTCTTTTACTCAAACATCTATTGAAGAGTTCCCAAGTCTCCAATGATGTTTAGGGCGACCTCATTATGACAAGTATCCGAACATTAGGAGATACAACGAATTATACTTCGCACCCTTTACATCATGTCACCCTGTCTATAACACTTCCCATTCTAGCTATCTACCAAATTTCAGCCCAATCAGACATGTAGTTCACGAGATAAAGGGCTGTAAAGAATGTACCTTTAATGTCACATAACTTTTATTAGTCAAAATGACTAACTTATGTTTACAGTGAACGTTTAAACTTCCGACTCTTACTGTCATGGAAAAGTTTTCATCCAGACATATCCAAAGCAGCTCACAGTCGGAGGCAATAACGTAGATGACGAATGCAAGCGGTCTGTTGTCCGCCTAATGTCATTTCCTTTTTTACCCGAAAATGCAGCTGTGCACCTCGTACAGATGGGGGAAATCATGGAATGTTATCGTCGGTGATAGTAATTAAGTACCATACAATGGTCAACAGCTTTGAGGAATAAAGTGAATTTTAAGAAAGTATTTAAGGAAGACCCGTTTTTATGGGATGAATTCACTGGCCATTCATTATTGTTCAGACAAAGAGAAAAATAAAAATAGCAAGGAAATAAAATCAGGAGAGTATTCCAAATAAAGTCTCTGAGGAGCTTTCATCCAACCAAAGATTGACAGCTGACCGACCGTCATGTATTACAGTTGTTTCAGTAGACTTGGTTGCGTCTTCTGATTGACACCACGCCTTGGCATTTCTTTTCCTAACACCCTACCTGCCAAATACTATTTTTTATTAATACAAATTTTATTAATATTATTTTTCACTAACACAACCCCCCAATTATTTTATTCTGAGCACCCAACCCACCAAAAATAAAAATTCTTTCCCCCCCTCAGCATTTTGAAAAGTGTTAAATTTTTTCTGCACCACATCTCTTTTTATTCGGAGCAGCCAACCCGCCAATAATATTAATTCTTCCCTCCTCGGCACTTCTTTTCTATCTAAGCGCAGACCATGTGTGGTTTTAAAATTTTCCCGGCACCTCTGCATTTTTTTATTCAGGGCACCCAACCCCCGCCAATAATATTAATTCATCCTTCCTAACCTCAGCATTTATTTTCTATCCACATCTTGACCACTTGTGGTTTTTATTTTTTTTCCCGGCACCACTGCATTTTTTTCA